CATGCACACCCACGCAAACAATGCACACACACTGAAATAATGCACACACACGGAAATAATGCACACACACGTAAACAATGCACACACACGGAAACAATGCACACACACGGAAATAATGCACACACACGGAAATAATGCACATCTTGCACACAAAACATACACAATGCACATAATACATGGAATATAAATACGGCATTTTACATGCATGATTATTTTGCAGAGTAATTCACAATAAATGATTTCATATGAAAGTCGATAGTGTTCTCAGCAAAGATGAGCTCGTGTATGACACGATGTGTTTACTACTACATCGTTACAGACGATATAGTCGCGTATAAATAAATAAATGCAATTAAAATGTTTTGAATGGAAACACAGTGATTAAAACAAATGAAGCGTTTACCTGATTAATAAATGTGTTTGGTGCGCCTCTTCCTGTTTTCAGCTTCTGCTCGTCATGTGATAGCAAGCGTCACGTGACGGGCTCATGGGATGCCGTCACGTGCCGTACGTACAACAACAAAAACCCTCAATTAAGTCATTTAATAAGGCTAATAAACTCATAAAATGGAATTAATCTCAAGCATGCTGTTTTTAATTCTCAATGTCTTCATCGATTATTCTCAGCACTGAAATACTGTATTAAAATCATCCTACTAGACACTTATTTGAACTCTTAATAACTAATGCATGCATGCATAAGACATAAAAGCCTATAAGATCTCTGTAGTATCTTAATGGTTTCTCCTAGACAGCAATGGGCTCCATTATGAAAGAACAAAGCTGAACAATAAGGTATTCAGCAAAAGCACCCGGAGGTGTTTGACCTCAGAGATGAGAAAGCTGATTATATGAGGCTGATTTTCATGCTGCTCATTTTACTGTCACGGTTGAATAATCAAACACAAGGCCAGTGTAAGCGATGGGAAGAGGAGGTTCAGAGACAGACTTTATATTAACTTGTCCTGAATTCAATTTGGTGAATCTGCTGTCTTGAAATAAGATTATTCTGATGAGAATGCTTAGACAGCTATTGGTAGAGATTCCCATTAGTTAACGTTAGTTTATGCCAAGGGTGTGGGTTTGATTTTGGCATTGGTGGGGACATAACAGCAGACAACAGACATTTAATTGCTTGATCTAGGACGATTTAGAAGTGGCTGATTGGTAGGATCATGTCATAGCGTCTCTACTAAATTATACACCCTGGAAAATCATAACAAGCGATGTCCGACTTTGCAAACTATAGTTCTCTCCTTAAATATGAAGAGCTCAAACAACAGATTAAGGAGTTACTCCAAATTTCACAAAAAGCTTATGCACATAATTATAAGTCAGACATTGAAGCGAGTTGCTGTTTTTGTCTCTTCTGAGGAATTATTCACTTGTTTGCCAATGAACCACACAGAGAGATTTCAAATCTAGACAAGGAAACTATCCAAAGCTCTGTTCATCCTAAAACAGTGTAAACTGTACCTATTCATCCTATGTGTCCTCTTAAGATGAAAAGAATGGTTACTAATAGTTAACATAGTTAAACCGTAACTGCAAATGAACCATGGTTTTGCTACAGTTTAACCATATTTGTACAAAAACTGTGATTTTTCTAATATATATATATATATATACAGTGTTGGGGGGAACGCATTACAAGTAATGTGAGTTACATAATCAGATTACTTTTTTCAAGTAACTAGTAAAGTAACACATTACTTTTTCATTTACAAGAGAATATCTGAGTTACTTTTTCAAATAAGTAACGCAAGTTACTTTTTGTTTCCAATTTATTGATTGACAGCTCTCCTGTCCCCATCTTGAGATAAATCAGAGGATGTTACTGTAGTTCTAAAATAAAAATGAATATGCATTAATTCATCTCACTCACAAAAAAAAACAACAACACAGATTCAGTATTCCTCAAAATGAATAAAAATAATGTAACAGAATATGACGCAAACCTGCAATACTTAAATGTTAAACAACACAAATATCCTTTATGTATTTCTTTATGTGTTTAATCCCATTCTATTTGCTTCTGACCTTCGATGATCCAGTTCAACCGTACTAATAAGCCAAAATTACTCTAGACAAACATTCGTGTCTATTTTTACTGCTGAAGTGTGTTGAAATGTCTTCTTCTGCATTCTACTGTACGGACGTAAATTTACTTTCCCTTCAGCCTGAGGCTTATTCATTTCACTTTTGGTGTGAAAAGGCTTTTATATTCGCCAAAAATAGAACTTTTTTATTTTAAAAACAAACAAGCAAGCCCTGTCCAGATTTAAAAAGTAACGCAAAAGTAACGTAACGCATTACTTTCCACAAAAAGTAACTAAGTAACGTAATTAGTTACTTTTTTATGGAGTAACGCAATATTGTAACGCATTACTTTTAAAAGTAACTTTCCCCAACACTGTATATATATATATTATAATTACATTTTTATATTTTATATTTTCAATTGTAAAACATTTACATTGTAATTTTTTTTTCTGATGCCCAAAAAAATTCATCTTTTAATCATTTTTCAGTATATATGACTAAAAGATGCATTTAAATTGTAAACCTAAAACCAGTTAATTTATGATGATAATATATTACATTTACATAATATAATACTTAAAAAAAACAACAATGCAAAACAGATTTTGTAACCCACTGAATGTCATACGTTTTATTATTTTACTCTTTTGGTCAAAAATATTCCAGCCAAGTTCAACACAAACCCGGCAAACCCCTTCCTTTCTCCTTTTATTACTTCCTTATTGAGTCTAATTGGCATTTGATAAACAATTAAAAGCTATTGCCTCTCCACATTAGCAGTTCCCATGGAGACAGAGCGCTGATGCCATGTGAACACAGATCTTCACTCGGCTGAGATCTTCAGTGAACAGAACTAGATAGTGTGTGCTTCTAGATGACAGTGAATGCATAATCACTGAGAGACGGCAGTGTGTCATTCTGTCACAGTATAAAGCTGTTTGTTGTGAGTTTAAGGCGAGTTTGTATGGATGTGTGTGAAGTTTTGGAGTTATGCAATCAATGGATAGGCGGATTCATCTTTCCTATGTGATGCTGTCATTTGGGTCGGCATGCTTGTCAAATTAGATTTGTAAATTAGTTCAACACAAAGAGTTCATTGTTGTTGCACAAAGAGCATGTAAGCGCAGGAAGACCTGCAGATGCTTTCTTAATGAATCCAGCTCTTTAATGCAGTCTATTAAATGAGAGAAGAATGAAAAATATGTTTGGTGTAAAGTATTAGCACTCTTTAATTCACCTGATGGGCAACAAAGGGAGTTCTCGATGTTTTTTGTTTATCTGAAGAGCAAAAGATGCATAAATACTGAAAGAAAAAAGATGACTAAAAGGTGTATTTTTATGCATTATATATTATATTTTAAATGTTAGAAAATATATTTACAATAATTAAACATTAAATAATATTTAGTTATATAATTATTATATAAATATAATAATTAATTCAATTAATTATAATAAAAAATTATGCAAAAATATAATATAATATTTGTATTATTTACATTTTAGAATACATTTACATTGTAAAAAATAATTAATATAATGATAAATATATAAATATAATATAATGAGTATATATGTATATATGACTAAAACTAGGATTTTTTTGCTTCTCAAAAATGTTGAAATATTATTTTATATATTTTTATATTTTATATATTGAATTTACACTGTAAAATAATTATTAAATAAAATTCACAATGCAGATATATTTTTATTTATCTTTTTCTTCAGTCTGTGTGCACTGAATTTATTTAATACACGAGTTTCACAATTTGAGTTGAATTACTGAAATAAATGAACTTTTCCACAACATTCTAATTTATTGAGATGCACCTGTATATGACTAAAAGGTGATTTTTTTGTTCACAAGTGATAATTATAGTTCAAAGTCAATACATTTTAAACTATTATACAATTATAGAAATAATATACAATTTCAACTCAAAGTAAATATACCAAGAAAAGAAAACAGTCGTCAAAACATTATTATAATTTATGAAATATTATCATGTTTTACCTTTTTTTTCTTTGAGTATATGTGTATATGACTAAAAGTAGCATTTTTTGCTTCTCAAAATTTATTTATATATTATTATTTATATTTTGTATATTTTATATATTGAATTTACACTGTAAAAATAATTATAACAGAAAAAATGTAAAACAAATTCACAACGCAGATACATTTTTTAGTGCTGTCAAACGATTAATCGCATCCAAAATAAAAGTTTTGGTTTACATAATATATATGTGTGTACTGTGTATATTTATTATGTATATATAAATGCACACACATACAGCATATATTTTGAAAATATTTACATGTACTTACATGCATATATTTATATTCATAAAATGTATATTATATATAAATGTATTTAATATATAAACGTAACACATTTTTCTTAAATATATACATGCATGTGTGTGTATTTATATATACATAATAAACATACACAGTACATACACATATACTTCTATTTCGGATGCGATTAATCGCGATTAATCGTTTGACAGCACTATTTTTTTATCTGAAGAGCAAAAATGCACCTTTTAGTCATCTTTTTTTCCTATATATGACTAAAAGGTGTTTTTTGCTCACAAGTTATGATATTATATAAAAAAGTCAATACTTGTTTTAAAATATTATAAAATTAAAGAAATAATATATAATTTCAACTCAAAGTAAAAATACGAAGAAAAAAAAACCGTAGCCAAAACAGTGAATTTTTACAGTCTATGGATTTGACGGCTCAGCTCGTGAATATTAATTACACGACTTGATTGGACGCTCCAGTAAAGAACGTCCATCATCTGATTAATATTCATGAGCGAATATCCAATGATCGCGCTGCAACCTGTTGTTGGCGTTCACTCGGCACCAGGACCCGGATCAGAGCTCGCCGCCGCGGGGCTGCTACAGATCCACTCGAGAGCGCGCAGGAGCCTCACACACACACACACACTCATTAGTACACTTGAGGAGGTGTGCTTTAGTGTTTGAGCGTCTCATTGAGGAGATTCCCGTTCGGATGAGGCGCGGTTCGAGCGGAATAAGCGGCGGCGGGCTTTGATGAGGATGAGGATGATGAAGAGCGCGAGGCACCTGTGATCACGTTCAGCATCAGTCACTGAGATGTGAGTAAATCACCGGTGCAAACTCTGTTGTGCTTATGAACATCATCATATCTGCTGCTGTGGATCCGTGAGCTCGGTGTCGTGTGTGTGTGTCACCACCACACACACACACACA